CCCTCTTTCTTTGACCTTCTTCTCATCATTAATGATTACTTGGGGCACCTGGCTTTATGCCCCATGTGCCCCATGCCCACATGATGTATGATTTTTGACTGAATAAACAGACGTCTAGGAGAATGGATCAGGCCTGCACTTACTAGATGTTATTGGCTACACCTCTCACAGTCTCCAGTCGGTTGTTTCACCCGAGATAACTGAGGCTGAGTTTTTTCTCACATCAAATGCCTTCAGTGCAGATCCTGGCAAAGGCTGTGGGGACTCAGGTGCCCAAAAGGCTCTGCAGCAGAGCCAGATCCAGGGCCACACCTCTGTGGTTGGAATGCTGCCCTCCAGAACCAACAGTATTTAATAAACCACTGGCTGATACATAGTGCTGTGGCAGAAGTTTAGAAACTAAGACATGAAACTAAATACAGTCTTCTCATATCACTCACTTACATAGAATTGATTTGCAGAATTTGTGTTTCCCTTTCCACAAGGCCCTGCTGGATTAAAGGCTAAGTTCCCAGAGGAAGGATGCCTCTCCCAGGGGATTCAGTAATCTGCCGTGTCATTGCCACTGAGGTCCCTTTGAACTTTTGTGCCAACAGTCCAGCAGGGAAAGAGAGTGATTAGGATGGGAGGGTAATTGATCCCGATTGTTAGGAAGCACCAGGTTGGTATGAAAAACACAATGAGGGTGTGATGAATTATCTAGAACTTCAGTAATTCACATTGGTGTCTCCTGGTATTTTCAGGCCCCAAAATAACAGGAAAGGGCCTGCAAAAGGCTAAGTGATCAAGAAGTGACACTCCTGAGCAATGAAGGCCTGAAGACCTGAAGCTCTTCTCATGAAGCCTCCCTGTATTGAGCGTATGAAAGCAATTGCAGTCGGGCACAACCGTGACGACTCAGGGACCCTGTGGCAATAACGCAGGGGAAGCTCAGATCTGAGGAGGTCAAAGAACATTGTGAGTCAGTGTTTTCCAACTTTTTTTTTTTTTTAATCTCACAGCACCCTTAAACCTATAGTGAAACTTCCATGGCACACTTAAATTATGCTCATCAAAATATATATATATATAAAATATACTTAATGCACCTGGAAATCTTTTAAAATAATTTAATTAATGATCTTTAAAAATTTTGATGGCACAGTGGTTGAAAATCATTGTAACTGACATTGCATGTGCCTGTTGTCCAGCCAAATGTCCATCTCTCATGTTAGACAGAGCTATGGTAGACAATTCTGAGGAATCTCACACTCACCTCAAATGGTAACACCCCACACTAAGCACACACTGTGTAAGCTCTTCTGCTTCCTACCCCAGGGCTTCCTCTGACCCCTCTGGACCTCCCTCGCCTGTGCACAAGCACAGCATGAAAGTGTAGGCTCCACTCTAGGGAATCACCACCTCTGCTGCCAAGCACCAAACACTGGGGAAAGGGAGGTGGTGGATAAAGGCACTTTCTTTCTGTTCTGCTAGCAGACACTTCTGAGAGGCATGCTGTATGCTTCTAAGTAGATTCTGGTAGAATCAAGCCCCAGTATTGCTCTACCCATGTTCTCACTCCTGTTTCCTAAGAGCAAATCCTAAATAAACTCTTGTTACCTGAGTCCTTGCTTCTGGTTTTGTTTGAGGGACAAACACAAACTAATTCAGAAATTCTTCAAAAATGTAATAGAGGATGGGTGGCGCCTGTGGCTCAAGGAGTAGGGCGCTGGCCCCATATACCGGAGGTGGTGGGTTTGAACCCAGCCCTGGCCAAAAACTGAAAAAAAAAAATAATAGAGGAAGAAGAGAGGACAATTCAGGGGAACGTTTCTGGGCTTATTGCTAATTAGGGCAGGTAAGAACTTGAGTGACTAATTGGGAAAAAAGTTTTCACTTTATTTTTTTAGAAGATGATGAGACAGCTCATGCTTGCTAAACTTTAATCTCTGTAGATGTGTGATCACATGTATTCATTAATCGAAAACCTCGGCAAAGGTAAACTATTTTAACTCTCTTTCATTGCCCCCTTGACAAATCTACTCACCCTTTACTATCTAAGTTTCATCACTGCTTCTTCACAAAATATGCGTCTCTTCCAGTTAGCTTATTTTCCTCACTGACCCATAGGCACCTCAAGGTCCCTGATGGCTCTAGCATATCTTTTTCTGCTGTTCCACACACCCACATTTCCCTTCCATGTATGTTGCAGTTTGTTCATACCGTATTAATCCTGTCATGCCCACTGCACAGCTCCTTCCCTTCCAATGGTTCCTCCCTAACAGTCAAAAAACCCCTCACTTCCTTCTCCTCCAATGTCCTACAGGAACTGGATAGGACCCACACAGCCCGACTCACAGTGACACACCTTCTTAAGGCTTTTGCTGTTGTTTCAAGGTACTCAGCTTCCTCCCCAGACACGTCCCAGTCCCTGTGTGCATGGACTCCACCTGTCCCTGCAGCATCCTCACTGCTCTCGGGATGGTGTTAGGCACATACTGAGAGCTGGTAAAGGCCTACGATGATGCTGAAAATTGATATTATGATACCCTACCTTCCTCAAAAAATATCAAGGGGAAGAAAGAGATTTCTTTGAAAATTCAAGTACTTATAAAGGAAAGATAGGGTACATTTTAAATTTCTAGGCCTTTTTATTTAGTATAAAAATAAATCACATAAGCTCATACGGATTACTTCCAGAACACTCTTCTTGACTAAACTAAGTTCTTTTTTCCATGTAAAGGAAGAAATCATAGAAATTGTTGGTTCTGGAGGCCAGCATTCCAACCACAGAGGTGTGGCCCTGGATCTGGCTCTGTTGCAGAGCCTTTTGGGCACCTGAGTCCCCACAGCCTTTGCCAGGATCTGCACTGAAGGCATTTGACGCGAGAAAAAACTCAGCCTCAGTTATCTCGGGTGAAACAACCGACTGAAGACTGTGAGAGGTGTACACTGTAGCCGGTAGCATCTAGTAAGTGCAGGCCTGATCCATTCTCCTAGACGTCTGTTTATTCAGTCAAAAATCATACATCATGTGGGCATGGGGCACATGGGGCATAAAGCCAGGTGCCCCAAGTAATCATTAATGATGAGAAGGTGGTCAAAGAAAGAGGGGGAATCATGGAAATTGCCTGAGAAATTGCCTCAGTAATTATTTCTTCAACCTGAAGAGGGCACTGCTTGCTCCCACTGATGTAGAAGTTTTCTGCTAAAGCCTGTCTCCTGCTGAAGAATCTGCAATGCTCCTAAAACAAACAAAAGGACTAGAACTACTCTTCTTTATCTATAGAGTCTGGATCTGATTTCCACATTTTGGAATCAAATTCTCAATGATTTCAGAAAAACCAAGACATAGAAGAGCTTTAGGAACCACACTTAGGATCTGCTGGCTGTAGCTGACAGAATTCATATCAGCAGGGACCCAGAGGATCCACAAGCTTCTGAGAACCGGTCTCTATGTTTTATAGAAGGGATTCAAAGAAAAAATATATTTTTAAATGGACACTCTCATAATTTTTTAAGAACATGAGCTATCAGATGAAGAAAGAAGAAAGTCCTTCCTAACATCAGGAAGTCCAAAGAGACAGAACCAACAGGATGGACATGTAGACACAGGAGACGGGATTGATTAGGGGACTGGATCACACGATCATGCAGACCAAGTCCCCTGATAGACAGATGTGTGCAACCTGGAGACCCTGGAATACTGGAAGCATGGCAAGGTCCAAATTCAAAGACCTGAAAACCCAAGGAGCTGCTGACATAAGTCCTGGAGTTCAGAGTCCAGAGAGTCTGGACTTTTAATGTCTACGAGCAGGAGAAGAAGACCATGTTCCAGCCCCTAGAGAAAGAAATCCAATTCTCCTGTCCTCTGTCTTGTTCTACCCAGGTACCCAGTCGGCTGCACGGCCACATTCAGGAAGGATCCTCACACTTATTCCACTCAACCTCCCAGGCCAGTATCCTCTGGAATCTCCCTCACACTCATGCATAAAATAATACTCCACCAGTTCACTAGACATTCCTTAATCTAATCAAGTTAACACATAAAACTAACCATCACAGCATCCAAGGAGAGAAGAATTTTATCATCTACTATAATCATTTGAGCAGTCTTTCCCCCACAGGTGCAGAGTGAGAAGGATCTACACAGAATCACCCTGCTACCTTTGTTTCTGTCTTTACTGACTCAGGCTTTGTAGCCCAGGGAAGACCAGCAGCCTCCTGCACAGCTACTGCTGGGTCCACCACTCCCTGCACATAAGGCTACCAGCTAACGGACTCAGCCACCTACCTCTGAGCCACAGGGAACCTGTGCACCCAGAAACCACCTAAATGCTCCAGGCCTCACACCCCATATTGGAGCCCTCATGGAGGGGGAGGGTTAGTGAGCAATCTCCATCAGTTCCCTTCACAAAAGAATATGGTAAATTAATATAACAAACTGGAGACCACCTTTGAAAAAACAATTTAAGTTTTTGTTCACTGTGTTTCAAATAAGGAGTTGAGAGTGACAAGAACACTGACCATGAGCTGCCTGAGGTGATCAGGACTAGGGACCCTTGTGCTCTGTACTGGAGGCCGCCTAGCCAGGAGGGTGGCCCCGAGATTACAGCAGCTTCTCCCATGTGGGCCACTGACTGCTGATGTGCTTCAGTTTCTCTATCTGGAAATGCTCTCCCATGACAACATCAGAGTAGGTCCAGGAGACTCAAACATTCTTATACTACTTTTTACTTTTGTAGTCTAACCAGCTAACTCCACTGAGAAAGCCTTGGACAGTAGTTGCCAGATAGGGTTGTCTTCCCAAGGGAGCACCCTGGGATTTCTCAGACTGCCCAGGAAGGGTTCTAGTTCTGAAGAAGACAGCTGTCTCTCCACCCTCACCCCCATATGCACTCAATTAAACATTCTTCTATAAACATCATTTTATTTTAACATCAGCGTTTAATAACTTCATTCCCTATCTACAGAAGTTGGGAACTAATTGGATGATGAACACAGTATATTAACGTTCTGATTGCCTGGACCCAAGGATCAGAAAAGGATCTAAAGTGGCAAGATGAAGCCTGTGGCGTGGGATCCTTGCTCAGCATTACAGGAATCTTGAGAGAAAGCAAACATCCACTCCTGAGAGCCTCATCGGTGAACTCACAGCTTCAGCTGGACTGAGACTGGGAGAGGAGACAGCCCAATCATCTAGAGTTTCCTGTGGAGACTGGAGAGAAAAAGGGAAAGTAACAGCACAGTTACCAATGTCCTGTGACTTTGCCCAGAACACAGTGGGTACAGCAGAAGTCTAACACTGAGCAAGCAAGGGGGAAATCTGTGCCCCTCACAGCAACTCAGAAAGCTGCACTTTAAGAAGTCTCTGGAGCTGAGAGCAGCTATGACACAACGCTCACTTCACCACTGGGTCCAAATGGAAACAATAAACAGGACCATTATGGCCACAACTCCCTACAGGGCAGGGCAGCTTTTGATTTAGACTTTTATACTCCTTGTTTTAAGGGGGAAAAGGTTTACATAAAGCTGGGCCATGGAGATGTCCTTAGCTAAGAATGGATGACATAAATTCAATGAGGAGAGAAAATTAATGCAAATGAGACTCACAGCCCCCACAGCTGTGAGTTTTCACTTTCCCTGTCTTTTCTCCACTCACCCTTCTGTCCACATTGCATCTTTACAAAAACAATTTACCATCGCCTGCCCCTCTTCATTTGGATCCCAGAATGAGTTACAACTCTGACATCTCTTTTATTTCACATTATATAGCCAGTTTTGTTCTCTGAAGCCAATGACAAAAAGCACTGATGAGCTTTCCTGAGGGAGGCAGCAGCACACACCCTCCCACTTCCTGTCCTG